GGCCCAGGAATCGCAGCGAGGCAGTAAGGGCGGCCGTGGACGGCGCCAGCACGCAGGAAGCAACGAAAGGGGACCGGACGCGCAGCAAGAGCGGGGTGGAAGGAGCGGCCGAGGGCGGGGACAGCTTACTGGAAGGAACGGCGGAACAACACAGCAACCACAGCCAGATGAGCCGTTGAATGCACATAATCCAGCGCCGGAGCAGGCACACTTGCGACGGGTTCATAGAGGCAGAGGCGGAGCAACTCAAGGACAGCCAGCGCGCATGGCTCATGGAGGACGGCGACAATTTGGCGGCCTCTTAACTGTGGATAATGAGAATAGCGCTTCTGTAGGTAGCCATATGTCAGGCCTGCAGGCACATGCGCCAGAGTTCCACCCCAGCCAGCCGATTCTACCCCGAAACCCACGCCCACGCCCACCACGAGAACAGAAGCGGCGAGCGTCGAAGTCTTCGGCACCGGACATTGCCACCCGTACACACGAAGACATAGACAACGGACACTACGAGTGTGCCATCTGTACCGAAGAGCTTCGGAGGAGCTCCCGAGCCTGGTCATGCCGCACCTGTTGGACCGTGTTCCATCTGGGCTGCGTCAAGAAGTGGTCGACGAATGAAGGCTCGGCCGCTGCCCGCCAGCAAGCTCAGGATGCTCCAAGGCAGTGGCGGTGCCCAGGGTGCAACCTGCCCCAGGATGTATTTCCGAAGACCTTCTCGTGCTGGTGTGGGAAAGAGGTGGATCCAAAACCACTCTCCGGCTTGCCTCCGTATTCATGTGGCCAGACATGTTCAAGAGCTCGCACTCTTCCAAAGAAGTGCCCGCATCCTTGTCCTGCTACATGCCATGCCGGGCCTTGTCCGCCATGCTCCCAGATGGGGCCCACTCAATCCTGCTTCTGTGGAAACAAGTCTATCACGCGACGTTGTTCTGACACCGACTACGACAAGGGATGGAGCTGTGGTGATGTTTGTGGACACCCGATGCCTTGCGGGGAACACAGGTGCCCTAGGCCCTGCCACGACGGACTGTGTGGTGTTTGCGAGGTCCGCATTCCGTCTCGTTGCTACTGTGGACAGATTGAAAAAGACATTTTATGCTGCCATCGAGGAGATAGCAAGGAAAGCAGTCAGTCACACACAACCGCAGATGGCTTGATGACTGTTGAGCGTTGGGTTGGACTGTTCGTGTGCTCCAACATGTGTGGCCGAGAATTTGATTGTGGAAAGCACCATTGCGAGAAACCGTGTCACAAGCAAGACACCGAAACTCCGCACTGCCCTCTATCGCCCGATACCGTATCCCATTGCCCCTGTGGCAAGAGCCCTCTCCTTGAGATCTCCGACCGCGTACGCAAGACTTGCGAGGATCCGATCCCGAACTGCTTGAAACCTTGTGGAAAGATACTCGAATGCAGACACGAGTGCCTGCAACTCTGCCATCAAGGCGAATGCATGCCTTGCTTACGGCTCGTATCCATTGCCTGTAGATGTGGTCGAACTAATTCTTCAACTGTCTGTCATCAGGGTGCCGAAGAACTACCGCAATGCATGCGTGTTTGCCGAACATCTCTCAATTGCGGTCGTCACGAATGTGGAGAGCGATGCTGTCCGGGAGAGCGCAAAGCCAGCGAACGACAGTCGAACATGCGCAAACTGCGACCCTTGCACTCGGCATCACGGCCATTTGATGATGGCTTCGAGGCTGAGCATATTTGCACGCGAAGTTGCGGTCGACAACTGAAATGTGGAAACTCCAATCACCGGTGCCAGGAACTGTGCCACAAGGGCGCATGTGGGACATGCCGGGAAGCAATCTTTGAGGAAGTCGGCTGCCATTGTGGTCGAACTGTCCTACAACCGCCTTTGCCATGCGGCACTGAACCTCCACCGTGCCAATTCCAATGCGAGCGACCGAAGGCATGTGGCCACCCTCAAGTGGCTCATAGTTGCCATCAAGATGAGGAGAGCTGCCCGAAGTGCCCATTTTTGACGACCAAACTCTGTCTTTGCGGCAAGCAGTCCCTTAAAAACCAGCCATGTTGGTTGAACGAGGTTCGATGCGGTAACGTGTGTGGCCGGAGACTGAAATGTGGCGCGCACAAATGCCAGAAGCAATGCCATCGCCCAGGGGAATGCGAAGAGCCGTGTCGTCAGCCCTGCGGAAAAGACTTGGACGTCTGTGGGCATCCATGCATGGCTCCATGCCATTCTCCGTTTCCCTGCAAAGGGGATCAGCCTTGCCAACACAAGATCTTCGTCAACTGTGAGTGTCAACGTATCAAGAAAGAGGCGAAGTGCAATGCTTCTGAGCACAGCGATGGCAACCTTAAGAAGACGCTCAAGTGTGACAATGACTGCGCCCGTTTGGAACGCAATCGCAAACTTGCAATGGCCCTCAACATCGACACGGACACTCATCAAAATAATCATATCCCTTATTCCGCCGCGACACTGAACATGTACCAGGAAAACTCCACATGGGCAGCCGCGCAAGAGAAAGAACTCCGACTCTTTGCTGCCAATCCCGCGGAAAAGCGATTGCGCTTCAGGCCCATGCGAGCTGATCAACGTGCTTTCCTCCACTCTATCGCAAAGGATTTCGGGTTCGATTCTCATAGTATGGACCCTGAGCCTCACCGCCATGTTGCCATCTTCAAGACCCCGCGATTCGTTATGGCACCAACGAAGACGTTAACAGAATGTGCGCGGATCCAATAAATTCAGTGTACTATATTCCCTACTCAGACGGGTCGTATATAGCCATAAATCGAGACTCAATATCCTGTCTGGTGATTCATTCAATGCATTCCTGAGTACGAACTCCCAGTTGGCTCTTGCCATCGAGGAGGTGAAGCCCGTTATTAAGTCTGCTATCGCAAACGCACTTATCCTATTGAAGGTTAACTTTCTCCCTAACGAAGAAGTCGCTCTCTGACTATTGCTCTCCACTCGTGCCTACATATCAGACCACGACCTTCAAGCCGTACTACAGACTCTCAAAGCCGCTCTCGTGGATGGTTTCACTGAGCATGGCAGTGGTAAGCTCCAATTTGCCCGTCTTGATTTCTCTCTCAACACTTTACCTAAGAACCTATGCTCTCGAGAAACGGATATTACTTACCTTATTACTGTTTCAATGCCGTCATATAGCCCCGACTCCTCAAACCCTTCCTCAAAGATATCCCTCCTCAAAATGCCGGTCGGACCCGTGATCCTCCTCGACTACCTCCAACCCCACGTCCTCCGAACCCACTACCCCCGCGATCGGGAAAGCCTACGGGGCCTCTTCTACTACTTCGTCCACTGTTGGAGCAGGAGGGGCTTGTCGAAAGCCTTGGTGAGAGGCCCGTAGCTCTTCGACCGTCTGTCCGAAGCAGTCCCCACCACCGTCATAACCCAATGTCAATGCCCCCGTGACACAATTGCGACATGTTATCTGGCTCTCATTTGGGAGCACGAAGATGCAGTACTGAAGTTGTCTATACCCCAATATATAAACAGAGTGCTTATATAGATCTTTTGTATCTAAAATACTGGGTTCTTAAGACTCCCAAATAATCCCGTTTAAACACTGCCTAGAAGACACGAATTTGCTTTAAAGTTTAATCTCCTAGTTTTATATCTCCTAATTATCTAGAGTGTTAAATGATGACGTTGTATACGGATGTTGGGGTCTAGAACCTGTTTCTGTAGCTGGAAGTATTTTTCTATTAGTGAAATTGCCTTGTCGTTCCGGCCTTCAAACTTGAACGCAAATGCCAGGTTAGTTATACTAATCAGCGTGTCTGAATGCTCCTCTCTAAGCACCCTTAAACTCGTCTCTATTACTTGCACGTCAGCTCTCCCGCCTCCCTCTACCGCTCTGGATTCCTGTACGTTGACGCTAGGTTAGGTATGCTAGTCAGCGTGTCTGGGGTGCTCCACTCCAAGCACCCTCTTTCTCGTCTCCATCATTTGCAACCCCACCTCTTCCGTCTCCTTCCACCGCCCTTGGTTCCTGTATGTCGACGCTAGCATACCCATGCTTCCAAGTGTTTTTATGTGCTCTCTCCCTAACACCTTTTCTCTTGCTCTCACTGCACATTCAGACATCCTTTCCGCTTCAACGTATTTCCCTATTACCCATGTATGCTACTCAACATTGTGTATTATAGAGATCCACTCTTGCAGTGAACGTTCAGCAGTAGGCCTCAGTGCCTCTACTGACTTTGCGTGTGGGAAGAGCGCCCGACATGTTATCCAGTTCTTGTGCTCTCCTACGGAAAAAACCATGTAGAGGTTTTTGATATACTGCTGCTTCCACCTCTCAAGATAACTGTGCGTTTTTAGCCACTTCCTTGTTGCAAACTGTACTAGTGCGTGCATCTCAAATGTAGCCCCATCTGCATTAGCGGTAACGAAGGAGTAGCTTCTTAGCGTAAGTATGTCATATTCGAACTCGGACATGACGTCTTCCTCGCTGCTGCATTCTTCGTGCCTCCTACCCTCGTCCTCCTTCTCTACGCTTCTGTTCCTGTTCTCTCCGATAAGGCACTCTGGTCTTCTCGTGTCTGTTCACGCCGCAAAGCCTAGGACACAAATTACATTCTCGAAGATGCACACATGCTTCTGGTCTCTTCTTGGCCGCATCGATGGGGGATATGAGGTGGTATCGTGGGATATAGTCATCAAGGAGCCATGGAGGGGCTGGCTGAAGATTGCGACGAGGAGGCTTAAGAAGACGCTGAAGGGTTGGAGATGGTGGTCGTAATAGTTTCAGGGGGGAAGGACGAGAATATGAGAGGACACATATTTGAGGAGCGATAGGCTTCATTGCAATTGATTGTAGAGATAGCAGGTAGCTACTGGATACTGAAGATCGATGCAATTTGGAGCTGTGGCTCGGAGAATCTTCCGCTACCACCATACATTCAGACCTCTGCAACAACTCGACCCTCAGCCACCGACCTCCTCGAAATTAACTACAAATACGCAGGTTAACCGACTAGCAACCAGCAAAGGCGTGGTGGCGAAGTGGTTATCGCACAAGACTGGGGGTCTTTGTTCCTTCAGGAGCGTCGGTTCGAATCTGGCCCCCGTGGAGCATCTGGTCATCTTTATATGCCTATCTCGAGGACAGCAAGGCCCGTAGCAGGTTTTCTTTTTGTTTGATCTCCTGCCGGGAACTATGGTAAAGAGGCTCACCGTTCTTGGGAATCATTCACACGAGGATCCTGAGGCATTTTGCATGGAGCGGAAGACATTGGATCGTGCTCATCAAGGCATCGTTCAAAACGGACAGATTGTGTGGAATCCTCGCCTAGCTCATGTCTAAGACCTAGGACAAGCCTTTGCAAATTCCATCTCTTTCGTCCAGGCGTCATTCCGCCATAACATTGTCTACTCTTTTGGTCAACCGTCGCTCTGTCCTCTCTCATTTGCCTTCCTATCTACCTCTCTAGATGTTCCGTTGACGAGACTAACTTTTTCATGCGGTGTCTCCGGTTTCTCGCTTGATAGGCTGAGTTGGTTCCCCTTTCGAAGCAAAGTTTTCAATCTGTCTTCTCTAGTTGGCTTCTTTTCCTGATCACTGAACTGCCAGTACATGTTTTCACGGTTTTCGAGATACCGGTGCATGGTCTAGGGCTGGTTGGAACATGAGTTGGTTCGGAGCCATCGCATAATAAGCATACATGGCGTCTGATTGGTCGTGTTGACACTTACCATTTAAGGTTCTCTGGGAGGATTCCTTTGTCTTTCGAGGAGGAGCCATATCCCAGGTCTGTCTAAGATAAATCAAATAAACTGCTCTTCTTTAGCTAACGCTGTTCGATATGTCTCAGTGTTACGTGGCTCGTCGATGATGCAACTTTTTTGTCCGCACCTCGCTGTAGTGAACATATCGAAAACTACCAAGGATATCAATTTCGACATCGCGAAACTTGGAATTGACGATCTAGGAGCATAAATGCTTTGAGCGAGGATGAGCGTAGAGTATCGCACAAGAGTGCTCTTCTGAGATGTGATGGCCAAATTGGGATCACGCCCGCGACGATCTCGTAACTGTGAAAAATAAGAGTCAGTTTTGCCACAGCACCTTTACGATTTTGCAAAAATGAGGCGTCAGCATAACGACCAAGAAACTCACCTCCTCTTCCTTTGCCAGAAAGGCGTATCCATGGATAAGTATTACAACTTTTGCGAACTTGCCCTGTGATTTCTTTTTTTTTATGTCCTTGCTCTACTCCCGCCATTTCTTGATTTGTCTGTTTCCGGTTCCTGCATATTGCATCGATGTCAGAATGAGAGGCAGTGAAGAATGTGAAGATAGTCAATTGCAAGAGCTAATATTCAACTCCTCCTCGTCGACGTACTGCGAATCACCGCTGTATTCCTCATCAGTATCGCATTATGAATGACCCGAAGCTCCGTTGCTAAGCCAATACGAGGAGGAGATGCACAGCGGCTTGAAGGAGATCATGAATAGGAGGCTTGAATATCTAAGAAAGAAAAACTCACCACGTTGGGTCGGGAATTACTACAATTCTCTAAAAGTAGTAAAAATACGTTTTCGGGGAGAGAGCCAGCTTCCTCTTCACGCAACAAGGAAGATTCATCGTTTTCGTCGGCATATGTATCTTCATCTTGCCAACCTTCTAGTCCTAGCTCAAGTGCCACAAGTATAGATATCGACCATGAACTTACATATATTCGTTAGATTGCGACCATTTCGAAGCACCTAATCCAATGGACAGTTTGACAAAGGGTCGCCACGACTCTAAAAACACGAGCGTCGTAGGGGAGGCCAATAATGTCAGAGAACAAGAACGAAAGGAAGCTTCAGGAGAGGCAGGAAGAAAGCCTGAAGACATTTCATCAGTGGTTTCGGCTCAGGCCGCTCCTCAAGCTCGCCAGATTTAGCAGTTTCAAGTTCAGCCAAGTCTGCGTGTCCAAGTCCCTCTGCAAGCACAACTCCAGGTCCTCCCGAGAGCATAACCTCAATTCATCCTGAAAGCGCAACCTCAAGCCTTGCCAAATCTAGACCACCAAGTCTGGCGGAATTTGCACATCCGAGTTCCGCCAAATGCGCACTGTCCAGTCAAGGTGGGCTAAAGTAGACGACAATTCGACTAAGGAGCTCGGTCTGTACAGCGGAAATGAAGTACTTCTTACAGTAGTCTCAATCCTTCAGAGCAGCTTGATTCAGAAACTTGTTGATCAGGCTTAGGGTGGCTTCACTGAATGTCAAGATAGCTCTAGTTCCAGCTGCAGGACTTCAATTACTGCTTCAGCTAGAGAATCCAAAAGCACAAACTCAAGGTAGTCTTCGAATTCATATACTAGCAGCAGTACATTGGACCGTAAATAGGGCGTAACGGTGGAGATAGGCTAGATGGCGACGACTCTGAAGATAGCGATGAAAATGGTAGGGGGAAAAAAAGGACAAACATTTTAGACGGGATAGAATACTACGAGAAAAATACCCCGGAAACACTCCAGGGTGTAATGTCGTTGCGAAGGCTTCATTGATATGGCAAAACTAAAGTAAAGAATCCATCAGTTGAGTGCTCTGAAATCGAGAGATTTGAGACTTACTCTTCCTTCAGGGATCATCTGGGGAGCGTTCATACCAAACCCCTACTATGCGAGCGGTGCCGACAAGAGATGGGTTCCCCTGAAGCATATGCCGAACATCTGTGAAAAGACAAGATTTGTGATAAACGCCCGGAACCCCAAAATAATCGCATCTGTTCCAGAAAGCTACAGGATCTTAATTTAAGTTGAGCACCTTTTATTAATGGCAAAGTGTTGAAGACAATGGATTCTCTATCGATGTTTATTTCCCGAAGATGAGCGCGTGCCGTCTCCGTGTGGATTCATTCCTTCTTCAATGACTTTGATAGATTGCTGATGGGACAAAAGTCGATGAGTATGGAATGAGTGCTCAATATCAGGCCATTTTCACCCAGACGCTTGTGCAAAAACCGCTGTAAGAACAGGCCCCGCCTTGGGCTCTGCCTTTTTGAGCATCCAGGCAAGACTACCAACCATAGTCGATAACTGTAAGAAACAAGCATTTGACATGGCTCGAGAACAATCCATTCACACTCAAGTCGCTTCCACCAGCTCGATTCCTGCAGCGAGCCCAGGTAGCGGCGTAATTCAAAACGGTAAATCTAGTGAATCTTTACTGCCAGACTAGTCGCACGACATCTTTTGGATACACGACATCGGCGTCAGATAACTATCATGCAATCAGTTCTGGCAATCAATCAGCTGACGATTTATATCCAAACTCGCGCCTTGCCAGTATTAGTACGCGTTGTCGACCCCAAAACCACTCTTCCTGAACATCATTCTTCTCTACCTATACACTCCTACGCTCCCCGCCAAACTCAAGATACTTTTCCTAAATGTCCAGATACCGCTTTATCTGGACCGACTGGATATGATAATCACCCGATTCCTCCTCACAGCAGTAGGAACGTTTGTCCAATATTCCATGAAAATGACTCAAACACTCAGGGAAAATCGTGGAATCAGGAGAGCCGGACTCTAGTTGAGGACACAAGTGGAGGATTTCCCTTCTCTCCTCTCTCTCGATGGGATCATTTGCAAGTGAGCGTCGATTTCAACTCGTTTATTGAGGACAGGGTGATCAAGGCCGGATTCTGTCAATCCACCCGAAATCTCTTAGTAAGCAATCGCAATCCTAGTGAATGATTGGTTGTGGATTGCAATCCGATTGTATAGAGGAGTATAGACTTTTAGTAAAGTAGTTTTCTTTTACTATTTAATTGTTCTTTCTATAGTTTTCTAATGTCACGAGAGTGCTACGTGCAGGAGGTCAAGAACTCAGAAAGGAGTGTTGATTGATTGCTACGTACAGTGCCAAGTGATAATTCAAGACGTTGCGTGAAGAAAGGAAGAAACAAAACGGGCTGCAAACAAAGTATGGCTCGTGCGCTAGTGCGAGGCCAATGCGTGAACACGTAATGTAATAAAGGGGCTTATAAGAAAGGCTTCTTTAGAACGCTCTTATAAAGTATTATAAATAGTTACTATAACAGTACCCCTCTTTTAAATCTAAGCTCCTATAATAAGTATTTATGTCAAGTTTTGAATAGCAAATTAGTTTAGATTCTAGAAGTAGAATTCTTTTATAATAGTTATATTTTAAGAATTGTTTATAAGTTACTATATTAGGTCATTATACTTAGTTTATTTAACTAGGTATTTATAGCGTTTTTATCTATAATTAAAGTATAGCCTTTTACTTTACTTAATATAGTATTTAGTATTACTATTAATTTTAATAAGTTTTAGTAATAAGTTTTACTAACTTAAAAAATATTTAAATTTAAGTACAACTAGTTAAAGTAAAGATATATAGAAAACTAAGTATATTATTAGAAATTTAGAAAGTTTAAGTTAGTATATATATAAAAAGACTACTTTAAAAATATAGTATTTTCTTAAAGCCTTTAAGTTTAGCTTTTTAAATAGTTGTTTTATTTTAATATTTTATATATTAAGCCAAACTATGTCTTTTATTTAGTAGTTAAGTATAAATAATTGTTTTTAATTTATATACTTTTTTTAAAAGGCTTAAATTTAAGTTATTTCTTTTAAACTAGTTATTAAATATTAGTTATTTTTTTTACTATATAGTTAGCTTTTAAAGCTTGTAGTATTTAGTAAAGTTATTTATAAATTTTTAAAAAAAGTTAAAACTTATTTAAAAATACTAGATTGTATTAACTAAAAATAGTAAAACTTTTATAAATTTAAATATAGTATTATTAGTTTTAAATTATACTAAAAAAAGCTAGTTTACTTAATTATTTTGCTAGTAGTTTATATATGTTTATAAAACTCATTTTATTATACTATTAGCTTTTTTTATTTAGTTATTAGTTTTTAAGTAGTATATAAAAAATAGCTAAAGTTTAATTTATAGTTGTTTATAGAGTTTATTATAAAAAGCAAAAACTAATTATATTTTTTAGTTTAATATAACTAATTTTGAAAAGCTGTAATTTATTTATATATATTAGTAAAAAAAAAAAAGCTATATTTATAATAGTTATTTTATTATAAA